CCACGTGGGGTCCACTGCCCTCCTATAGCTCTCACAGTGGAGATGCACCCCGCATGCAAATCCGGCGTGTCCCCTGCTCTCCACATACACCCAGACTCTCACCCTGCTAGTCCCCCTTCTGGGGACAGCAGTCACACTTTTGGGCCCTAGCCTCATCCCAAACCCCGACTGAACAAGCATCTGAAGCTGACTGTGCCCATGCTCCTGCTGACCAGAGGAGCCTGCAGGGGTCTGAGGGGCTGTGCCCGCTCTGGTCTACCCCCAGGCCAGCTCAGAGGATGGTGCGGTCCCAGGCTGCCCCGCTGCGTGGAGGGTTTTGGCTGAGGGACCCAAGCCTGGATTCTGTCCTCGCCCCACTCCTGCCTGCACTCAGCCTGTGCAGTCAGACTTCTGTCTCTGCTGAGTCCTGGGGCTGGGGAGCAGGGAGGTGGCTATGCACACAGTAGGTGTTTAATGAATGACTTGTCCCACTTTGTAAAGAACCAGTTTATGAACAATGAGACTCTAAGGCTGCACCCCCCAGCCCCAGAGACAAAGGATGGGGAGAAACCAGCTGGTGCCTCCCCCCAGTTGCCTGCTCACCGACCCATAGGAGCGGCCTCCCTGGGGGCCAGGAGAGGATGGTGCCCACGAGGATCCCTTTCTGGGTGTCAGGGGGCAGTAGGAAGATGCATTCCTTCAGACCCAGTCAGCCCACTTGGAGCAATGTATTGCAAGGAAAGGACAGGACAGGAGACCCATGTAAAGGAGCAGAGAGGCAGCACCTGTGCCCTTGTCATTAATTCATGGGGGCCACTGAGACCACCCACTCAGTCAACAGTCAATAGAGCAACTGATTCAAATAATTTTGACCTAGCCACAGGATGGAATATTAGACTGTCACCAGAAAGCATGTTTCTACAAATTTAAGGCATGGGAAGTGCTCATGGCATAAAATAGTGAAAGAAATATGGGAAACAGGAATTGTGTGAAGCAGCAGCCCCAAGATCTGTCTTGTGGGCACTAAGTATGCTCGAAAACGGGTCAAAAATTTCAGCAAAATGTTAAAAGTACTATTTTTGGGTGGTGGGATTGTGGATGTCTCATCACACTGACCAGAATGCTAACAACAGACATTGGCTGAGTAGCTTCCCATTGTGGCCGCCTTCTGGAAGCCGGAACAGCACAGTGAACAAAATAGAAATGATTTTGTTTTAGAGAGGAGGAGGGGCGGAGGGAGGGGAGAAGCTCAAGCGGACTCCACGCTGAGCACGTGGGGGTGCGACCTCACGCCCCTGAGATCATGACCTGAGCCGAGACCAAGAGTCGGGTGCCTAACTTGTGGAGCCCCTCCTCAGGCACCCCCAGGAATGATTTTAATATGAAAACCAAAACACGGCTGCTAGCTCTTGCATCAGCGCAGGGGCTTGGCTGAGGGTTTGGAACGAGAGCATGAACAAGTCGATGCAGAAGGAATGCACCAGGTTCTGACCGTGAGTTGTGGAGGGACAGGCTTTGGCGGGCTGGTCCCTTCCAGCTCCCCAGTTCTGGACTCGTGCCATCCCTGAGAGCTAAGGGGCGGGAAGCCCCGAGCCGTTCCCAGCGGGCTGGGCTGGCCTCCCCGGGGGCCGGGTGTGTGTCCAGGTGCTCCGGGCAGCACACACAGAAGGCTGTTCTAGCAGAACATTCAGCCGTTCACTCTGGTTTGATAGACAGAAAAACTGTAAAAACACCACAAGGAGCGTCCTCCTACTCTATTCCCACCTACCCGCCGCTCTGATGTGACTGGGTGCGGGCTCTCCCCTCGTCTGTCTGCACACAATGTTTCCTGAGCTGCTTGAAAGCGAGGGGCAGACACGATTCCCTCTGCCCACAACCGAAGACTCCCTCTGCTGGAAGCGCACACCGCAGGTCAGGAAAGTGAAGTCTGACATGCTGCCGCTGCTGTCTACACTCCTTCCCCTCATTCCCATATGACATCCCTTGTGGACTTCTACCAGCGCAAGCTCCCTGCTTCCCTCTTTATCTAATGGATGAAAACCTGTTCCTACCAGTCTTTTCAGCTGATTGTCCCCATATGGCCAGAGAGCCCTCTGAAGCCCTCTGTGTCCTCCTGCCACATCCTGACCATTCTTGGAGCACGTCTTACTTCTCAGGAGGTTGATTCCCAGACACTTCTGCACTTTCCCTGCCTGGGGCATATTGTCTCCATAGAGCCCTAGTTCCTTCCAGGGAGACTGACGTTTGGCAAGCAGGAACCGAGCACCAGGAGAGTCCGGTGCTCTGGGGTAGTGTAGCTTCCATTTCCCTGAGTGGAGAGAGCCAGGAAATGCGTCTGCTGTGCGTGCACGTGCATGTGCACGCACGCACACACACACACACACACACATGTGCCATGTCCACTGCCTCCTTTCAGAAGACATAAATACATGTTGTGAGTTTGTCCTGACGCAGCTTGCAGGACACAGGTCCACAGGTGGAAGGCAGACACCAAGCAAGGAAACAACCATAGTGGGGTCAGGGGCAAGCACAGGGGACACATTGGGGGAGGGGAGTGGGGGCCCTCTTTAAGACCTGCAAGTTTGGGGAAGAGCCCTGGCTGCAGGAATGGTGAATGCCACCCCTGAGTGGGGCCTGCTCTGTGTGGCTGGAGCAGAGGGTGCTGGAAGGTGTTCTGGGAGCCAAACCACCCAGCCTCAAGACTGGGGGCTGAAAGGAGAGGCAGGATCTCATTCATGTTTGGCAGTGCTCCTATGGACAGGCTCCAGGGGCAGGACCAGGAGACAAAGGCCAGCGAGGAGGCACCTACATGCACCGTGCACCCTGGCGAGTGGGGATGGTGGCCAGACCCAGGGCTGTGACCATTCCAACGCTGGGAAGTGGGATGTGTTTCCAAGGCTCCAAAAATGAGGGGATGAGGGAAAGGAGGGAGGCATCGGAAGGTGGGTCCAGGGAGGAAGCAGGACCTCTGTTTGGGTCCCACTGAGTTTGAGATGGAAGGGTGAGGAGGCAGCTGGAAAGGGTGATCCAAAAAGCCCTGGAATCTGCCTTCCGAGCCTCAGTTTCCCCATTTGCCCTCTGATTGTCCAGGCGCAGGCACAGGAGGCACCAGCCAGGATCACATGCTATGGGGCAAACACCTTCCCCTCTCTCAAGTAGCTTTGATCATAACCTGCCTCCCTCCGGCTGCCCTGCCCTCCATGACCACAGTGCCCCCTCGGTCCTGCCGGCAGGTGTCTGGGCACTGCTCCCTCAGGAATCCCACTGTCTTTCTCCCTGAAGAGGGGACACAGCATGCGCACTGCGTCCATGCTGACAAGTGTTATTCCAATATTCTCTTTGTTTCAGGAAAAGGCTTTTATGGAGATATATGTTTGGTTAGCCGCTGTAATGTTCGTTTCTGATGAAATGATTTATTTTCCTAGCAGATCTTTCCACGTTAGAGCCGTTTCTCCCGGATATTTTGGCAAGGGTAGACGTTTTTGGTAGGCTATTAAGAGGGTCGACCATTTTAATAATATTTTCACCTGCAACTTTGATGGGAAGGCTGAGCCTGGCCCAGATGTTTATGGTACATTTTGATAGTGTTCTGTGAGAATAGTATCCCCAAGCTGTCCCACGGCTAAGAGGCAAGGGCCTCATCTGGCCCCTGCAGACGCTGAGCACGGCTCTGCCCTGTCCACCATGTACCGCTGGAAGTTCGTCCTGTCCCAGGGGGACCCTCAGCAGAGTGACTTCTACACAGAGAATGTGTGCCCCTCCCACCACTGCCCTCACCAAATGCTGCTGCCCAGGTGCGGAAGCTTTCCTGCACAGGTGCAGGGAGAGGCTGCTGCTAGGCTGTGCTGTGGCTGCTGGTGGAGGGAGAGCATGACATTGGCAGAGGCCACTGGGACAGTGCTAGGTGAGGATGCCCATAGTGCAAAAGATGTGAGTGGGGGTGGGGGTGGCCTTGAAGGTGGTGGGGAGGAGAGAGCTGATGGAACAGGTGGCTGCACAGAGGGGGGTATGCAGAGGGTGGTACTCGTGTGGATGGATGGCAGGGCAGACGGTGGCAGTAGTATTGAAAGTGGCCGAGGCCATGGCTGGTGTGACAGTGTTGGAGGTAATGGGAAGTACCATCAGGCTGGCCCAACACTTTTCTAGCCTTGATTCAGGGGACGGTGGGTGCCAGTGCCCAGGGGTCCTCACAGTAAAGGCACCAAGTGGGGATAAGATGTAGCGTTTCATGCCCTCTGTGGCCCAGGGTCCCTCTCTGGGAGCAGCACACAGAACCAGCCCTCCGGCCTCGTCCTTCAGCCGGAGCAGCTCCTGCTGTCCTGAGTCCCTGGCCCCAGAGCTCCCTCTCCAAGTCCTGTTTGGGACCTATGGGCCTGAGTGACCAGCTCCTGGACTCAGGACCAAGGGAGAAAGGGAGACAACGGCCAGAGGATACACTACCCCCAGCTGCTGCCAGACGCAGAAGGTGGTCTGCAGAGAAGCAGGCCCTGCCCTGACTGCTGGGCATGGGTCCCAGCCTCCTGGCAGTGGGCCTCAGGTGTCAACTCAGGGCGGGGCCTGACCGGGAGGGAGGGTGAGACCGTGGCAGGCCCAGTGAGGAACTGAAAGGGTCAGGTGCCTCACTCGGGAAACTGAGGCCCCAGGAAGCACGTGGCTGCTGCCACACTGATGTTTCTGAAAGAAGCAGGACAGGGCCGGACTCCCCCCACCGTGCTGGGGACCAGTCGCTGGGCAGACGCGATCTGCGCGCGGTACCCAAGCTCCTGGCGGGTGAGGCTGGGCCGGGGCTTGCCACGCTCCCCTCGCCCAGGTGGCCGGACTGCAGTTCGAACCCCACCCCCGCCCGCCTCTCCCGCGGGCCGCTGTCCGGCCTTGGCCGCCGGAGGGAGGAAGCGCTGTCCTCATTCCACCTCTGGCCGCCGCGGTGCCAAGTTGCTGGCGGCGGCGGCGGGAGTCGGGGCGACGGGCAGCGGCGGGGCGCAGCGCCCTCCCTGGCGCCCTCGAGGCTCGAGGTTACTCACGTAGAGTCCGGAGTGTTCGGCGCCGAAGAACGGGAAGGGCACGGAGAGCGGCCGCAGACCCGAGCCGCCGTCGTCCTGCTTGGGGGTGACAGCGTCGCCGCGCTCCGCGCCGAAAGGGTAGAAGTCGGCGAGGGCCACCGCGCCGCGAACCCCGCGCGCCCCTAGCCCCAGGACCGAGGCCAAGAGCAGCGCCCAGGTGGCGCCGCGCTGCATCGCCGAGGATCGGCGGTCGGGACGCAGCGGAGCACAGCGGGGCCGGAGCGGGGGCGCAGCGAGGACAGCGCGGGGACAGCGCGGGAACGCAGCGGGGACGCAGCGGGGCTGGAGCGGGGACGCAGCGGGGACAGCGCGGGGACGCAGCGGGGATAGCGCTGGGGCGCAGCGGGGACCGCGCGGCGACAGAGCGGGGACGCAGCGGGGACAGCGCGGGGGCGCAGCGGGGACGCAGCGGGGACCGACGGCTTGGCAGCTCGTGCGGGGTCGGAACCGGCGGGGCCGGGCGGGGTGCGAGGAGCGCTGCGCGCAGTAGGTGGGGTTCCGCGCGCTCGGCGGAGCTGCGCTTGGGTCGGGGCTCCGCGAAGGAAGGAGCCGTGCGGGACGGCGCTCAGGGCCGGCCCCGCCCCAGGGGCCGCGATTTAAATATCCAGCCGGGCGGTCACCGGACCTGGGAGGGGGACTGGGCGGGGTCATGCAAATAACACCGCTCTTAAAGCGCCAGGCCTCTGGGAGGGCGGGGCGCTCGCGACGCGCCCGGCTGAGCCTCGCTGGCTTTGAGGCGCAGCTCTCTGGTCCTCGGGCTTTGCCGAGGTGAGAGCTTCGCGGACCAGCGTCCTGTGGCGGGGATCATCCTCCTCCTCCGTAGGTCCCCAGTCTCCAGACTAGGGCGGGCCCAATGGAAGCACCTTGCCCACACAGCAATTCTGAGACACACCCTAAGTCCTACCTGAGATGTTGGGTCTGGGTATCTGTCCTGCTAGGGGACCCTGTCACCCCCTGCAGACAGTGGTCAGTTGGGGCCACTCCGGCTTAACAGTGCCTGGATACCCTTGTGGAAGTGGCCAGAGGCCAGCCCCCTGCAGCCCCCAAACTCTGGGCCTGTGGACACTTACTTGCTCCTGGCCCTGGAGGTGAGGTTTCCCTCTGTTTTTGTGAGGGCGCCTGGCCTGGGGGACTTCAGGGCATTAGACAAGGTGTTTGTGCCCTGCACAGCCACATCTGGAGAAATTCCTGGGGAGGTTTCCCAACTGGTTCAGGATCCTAAGGGAACCTCACAGCAAGAGACTCTTCAGCAGACTCCTGGGTTTAGTGGCTGTCAGTGGGGAAGACAGGTCCATGTGGGCCTGGGGGCAAGTGGATAGATGCTCCTGGGCTTGGTGGATGGAGCCCACAACCCAGATTCCGTGTCCCAAGTTCGTGGCCATCCCAGCTCTTCTTCTGCCCCTGGAACCACTGACCTCACACCTTGTTCTGAATGTTTGTCCCTCCTCAGGTTCAGTGCAGGGCCCTCTCCCATCCTCCCTGCCCTCAGAATCTGGCGTTGGGGGATGTATGACTGCGAGCCAAGCCCGGACCCCCTGAAGACAACGGGGCGCCCACCAAGGATAAATGGAAAGAGCCAGCACTACCACTGGGTTTCTGGGAGCTTTTATGTCTGGCTCTATATTTTTCTGTGTGTCCTAGAATGTCTTCAGTGAGCAACTGTTGTTTTGCAGTTAGCCAGGAACATTAGTGTGACTTTGAAGAAATAGTGGACAGGTCCTCAGAGTGTGACGGTTTTACTCTGCGGGTTACAGATGTAGGATAGAATCAGGGAAGAATTTAAGGAGGCACCACCCAGAGAACAAGGTCCCCCAAAACTTCTCTCTAGTCCCACTGAGCTCGGCTGCGAGAGGGCCAGCCCTGAGGCCAGGCTCCTGCCTTGGGGACACCCCAGGACAGCAGGACAACTGCATGCTTCCAATGAAGGATAAGAAAGATCAAGCCCTCCCATCTCTGGAGGACAAAAGTCAGAAATGACATCTGATGGCCGGGGCTGTGCAGGGAACAGAATCTCAAGTTCACATGGCTCTCTGCAGGAACCCAGGGAGGAAGGGCACGTTCCCACTTGCTCATGTTCGCTTACACACACACGCATGCACACTCTCACACACACGGACACGACCCTCAAACACCCACACACCCACACTGCATCACAACTGCTCACACACACCTGCTCACACACCCAGCAGCTGCCCACCTGCTCATGGGTGCCTCTTCTGCTCCCCCTCCTGAGCACACGCGTCCAGGGAACCTAGTCAAGGCCCATTTCTGGGCTAGATTTGGGGGGAGCAGGACTGTCCCAGAGCCCAGAATACCCATGGGCATACAGTGCCCACTAGATGCATCCAGAAAAGGACTGTTTCTCCACACATGGTGGGAGTGGTTGCCCTAGACAAGGGGTCCCAACCAGGCCATACAAGCATGTCTCCTGGGTGGTCTGGTGAGGCCATGCTTAGGCCTGGGCCCCACCCCAGAGAGCAGATGCCTGTGGGTCCAGGTCAGAGCCAGCCACAGGCAGACCCTTGGCTCGTGGTCCCCAATGAGGTCTTATCTATCTGGGGCCCATGCCTGGCTGTCTGGGCCAATTTGTACCTGGTCTGGGAGATGGGAGGTTAACATGAGGCCCCACCACTGCTGGGCAGTACATTAAAAAAAAAAAACAAACAAACCCAAAACAACCAAAACCCAAAACAAAACGAATTCTCACCCCCCCACCGCCCCAACAACTCCACAGGCAAAAAAAAGGGAAAAAAAATTTTTTTTCAGGTGCTAAAAATATTATCAGGAAATACTTTTCAGCAATGTGCTGTTTTAGGTTCCCCTCTGGACTCAAGGGCGCCTTTGTCTCTGCCACAGAAAGTCCACATTTATCAAAACCAAAGTCGTTTTTATCAAGCAGGCTCGTGTTCCTGCGGCCAGGAAATCTGAGCCTCCCCAACATGCCTGTGACAGCTTAGTTCAGGGCCTGGGTCTGTGTGCAATTTCGATGGGGGAGCCCCCAAGCCGACCCGGGATACCCCAGGACTTGGGACTCCATACAGGGCAAGGTAGGGAGTGTCCTTCCCCACAACGCACCTGGTGGGGTCCCTGCAGGGCTGGGGTCAGGGACCCTGGGCCGGGCTGCGTGTGGGGCGGGGCTGCGCGCCAGGCAGAGCCTGATGGTCTGCCCCTCCCACAGCTCCCTCTCCAGGGGTCCCCAGACCTATGTGAAACAAGAAACACCTAACCATAACCCCAGGTAACCCCCGTCCCCACCAGCTCCGGGAACAAGGCTAGGAGGTTCTAGGGCCTTTGGGTCCAGCTCTCGTGGAAGCCCACCCAGCCTGGTTATTACACGGTGAGGCTGGATGGGGTCCTGGCACAGCTGGTCCACTGAGGCAGAGACGGGCACATCTGGCTCAGGGTGACAGCATTCCTCACACGGAGGGACTGTCCTTGAGTCCTGGGCCCACTCAGCTTCTGCCCTAACGTGCGGCAAGGAGGCATGGCCTCCATGGAGCCCCCACGCAGCTGGACACCCACAATGGGATGGCCGCTATTGGTCTTAGGGAAATGACCAGAACAGGCTTCCACATTTACTCCTTGGGATGTTCACTGCTGCTTCATTTGGTCAAACAACGGAGAGGAATTAGAAACCCTTTGAGCCAGAGAATAGGCAGGGACAGGCCAAAAATGGTTATAGGTGGGCTCAGGTTGGGGCTCTGTCTTCCTTTCGGGTGATGAGAGACCGCTGGGTGCAGGTAAGCGCCAGGCAGCCTCACCCTCCTGCCCCTGGCACAGGGGCGAAGCCTCCACTTCCGGACTGTGCTGTAGCCTCCAGCGACAGCCGCCACAGGAGGGCTCTTGTGGGACCCAGGGACTGGCTTTTTGGTGGGAGGTTCAGCAGCTGGTGAAATCATGCTTCGGTGGCATTTTTAATGGTGTGGGACAAAGCTCAGAGTAAAACGTTGACTACGAGTCTTTAGAAAGAGTATCCATTGCAACGTTACTGTGTCTTTGGCCCCCCCAGCCACCGGCCTGTACATGTGCCAGGAGAAAGAACTGCTCAGATTTTAGGATCTGCACTGATGGCTTATGGGTGGTGGTTTTCTTATTATATGTTTTTTGTAAAATTTTTATTTGCGGGGCGCCCGGGTGGCTCACTTGGTTGGGCCTTCTCCTCAGGTCATGATTTCAGGGTCCTGGGATCAGCCCCATATTGGGCTCCTTGCTCAGTAGTGGGGGGCCTGCTTCTCCCTCTGCCACGTCCCGTGCATGTGTTTTCTCACACTATCTCTGACAAATAAATAAAATCTTCAAAAAAAATTTTTATTTGCAGTTATTTAAAAAATATGAATGTTTTAGAAGCCCGAATATCAGTGACCCTGATTCCAGCTGGCCTCCTTGGTCCTGTGGCCCATTTCCTGCTCCAGCTGTGGCGGGAGGCTCTGTCTCCCTCAAAGGCCAGGGCGCTTCGGGGGGCCGGGGTTTGTCTCCTCAGAGTGCCCCTTCACCCTCTCCTGCCTGGTCTGCACCATGGGAATCACGGCCTTCCTTGGGCCCCCAGAGTGGCGCTTTCTCTGTGGCTCTCCGGCTCCCCCAGCTCTGTTTGCCCCCACCATGCTGTGGGCACTGGGCCTGTTCGCTGACTCCTGGGAAGGCTGTTGCCCCAGTGCCTAGTGGTGGCCCCTGTGAGAGCTACGGCGTGCTGGTGCCGCCCCCTACTGCCTAGAGCTCTTGATGGTGCCATCTGGGCCATACTTCACAGAGGATTCCCCATGCCGCTGTGGGCTGGAGTTGCCCCATTTGATGGGACTGAGGCCAGAGAGCCCATCCAGGATCACACAGCTGCAGGGGGTGGAGCTAGGGTTGGTCCAGGGCTGATGACCCCCAGACAGATCCTGGGGCTGCCAGACTCTTCCAGGCTGGAGGCCTCCACACACCTCAGCCAAGGAAGAAGCTGGGAGCCTTTCCCCTCAGCATCCAGGGAGGGCATGGTCCGCCATCCAGCCCTGGCCCCCGTGCGCTCAGCCTGACCCCTGCCCCAGGACCTCACCTCCAGGATGGTGGGGTGGGTGGTGCGTGTGAAGACAGGAGGAGGCCCAGCCAGGCTCCAGCACCCCAGGCACTGGGCCTCACCTTGCTTGGTGTCCCCAGCCCATCTCTGTTCTCCAGCAACAGGACGCTGGGCCTGCAGCCTCACTGGCCACATGGGTGTGGGGCCTCTGGGCATCACCTGACCTCTTGCTGACTGTCCTGTGGCCTTGGTCCAGAATCAAGGCCTTGTGGAGTCCCCGTCTCCTCATGTGTCAACAGGTACCCCAGGGAGATGCTGGGGGAACAGAGCCTGGTTCCTGGTTCCATGGGAATTGTCAGTGTCCTACTACTAGGAGGCTTAAGAAAACACCAATTTACTTCCATTAGGAAAATCTTTTTTTCCCCAAGTATATGACTTTATGTTGAATAAATAGAAATAGCATCTCTTACATGGATCGAACTATTCATTAAAATACGCAGGTCTTGGAGGTCTCACAGGTGCTTTGAACATCCCTCCTGAGCATGTGGGGAGAGCATGGACTTCACCAGAGAATGCCGGTCGGGTTATGGGGAGCTTTCATTTTATTTATTTTTAATTTTTTAAAAAACATTTTATTTATTTATTTGACAGAGACACAGTGAGAGAGGGAATACAAGCAGGGGGAGTGGGAGAGGGAGAAGCAGGCTCCGTGCCGAGCAGGGAGCCCGATGTGGGGCTCATCCCATGACCCTGGGATCACAACCTAAGCAGAAGGCAGATGCCCAACGACTGAGCCCCCAGGTGCCCCAAGGGAGGCCTCCCTTTTAATACTGGGGAGCCACCCTGACCCATCTGGTGTCTGCAATGCACCTCCCTCTCACCCAGGAGCATCTTTGTAGCTCTTCTGGGCTGGGAGCTACGGTCCAGAGGGACGACCCATGTGACAGCTGTGGGTGCCATAGGCAGGCAGAGAGGAAAGTGCCTCCACACACCCCCATCTCCAGCCTCTTGTCCCTTCCTCACACCCCCATCCCTTGGGTCCTTCTGCTGGGGGTAGGGGTTTGGGGGGTCCATCTGCTACCTGAGGGCTACCTCTTCCCTCTCATGGCCCCACTCTTGCCCATTCTGCAGAACACTCTCCAGCAATCAGTGTGCGGCCCCTGCTCCCCTCCCCTGCCTGTGATCCACCCTGATGGGCGAGTATCACACGCAGATACCAGCGCTAAAACCTTCTTTGCCCACAGTGGCCATTGTTAATTGTCCCCCAGCTCCTCCCCTCTGAGCCTGAGCTGAACTTTAGAATCCTTTTCAACCCAATCCCCAAAAATCGGGCAGAGCAGAGGGCAGACCAAAGCCCATTGCCGATCTCCCTCCAGCCACTGCTTTTGTACACTTCATGCCCCGTGGTAACTCCATCCCAGTGTTCACGCAGAAAGCAAAGCCTGACCGGCAGCCTGCTTTAAGCCTGGGGTCAACCCGGCAACAGACAGCTGGCGATGGCCCATCTGGGCCACGGCTACAAGGCCCGAACTCCCTTGGCTGTGCCCACACCCCGGAGGGCAGCCAGCACCTGTGGCTGCAGACCCCGCTGCCCAGCCGTGGCCCCACACCCTCTATGCGAGAGGCCACTGGGAATTCATTGCCCACATGGGGCAATGAATGAAAATGCCAACAGGCCATTCCGCAGAGGCTCAAGATGGCTGCCTCGTTATGTTCTCCCAGCAAGTGGGGCTGGGTTCCCGCAGGAATTTTCCCAGAGTTTATAGGCTGGAAAAGTGGGAGGCTCTGTAACAGCCCAAACTCTCACAGGCTGGGGCTTCTTGTGGCCGGTGAGTCACGGGGACTGGTTTCTGAGTCATTTCCAGCCACCTGCCGCTGGGACGGGCCTGCAGTTCCTGGATACAGAAGGTCCCGTGGCCTCTGGACGTGGGGAAGTGGTGGCTGGGCCTCGCAGGACATTATGTTTTTGGCTCCAGTTGGTGGAAATACTTTCCATGTGTTTCCCCGTGTTTATAGAGCCAAGGGCACGGAATGCAGCCTACGGCCACGGAAGCCGGCCTGCCGGGGCCTGGCTCCCAGGGTCGGCCCAGACCAATGTGTCCGAGCGGAAGCAGGCCCAGACAGGTGCGGGCTATGGTGGCTCCCTGTGGCAGAGGACTGTCCTGGAGCACAGTGTCCTACGGGCCGGGAGGAGCGCTACGCTGGGGGAACTGCAGAGCGCTGGTGACACAGGCCCCCTGGGGCGGGAGTGGTGGGCTCGGGGCTGGGGCTGCCCGCACCACACTCTGTGAACAGCGCGAGGCCCCAGTTTTCCTGGCAGGGGCCTCGCGGGCCCTGACTGCTCACGGCTGTGATGGGCAGGCTGCCTGGGGCCATTCTGCAGCCGGGCTCACTTTCTGGCCCTGGTGGCCTGGCTGAGGCGGGCTTGTTGACGACGAGGCACCTCCTGGTCCAGCTGCTTCTTTGGACTGGCCACCTGGGGGCGGGGCAGGAGCTCAGGTTGGGGTCAGGCCCCGCCGGCAGGGCCCCCAAGCACGGGGTTGTGCGGAGCTCTGTGGCTCCTGAAGAGAGGAGCCGTATGTGGGAGAGAAACATTGGATGGTGGACAGGCTCACCAGACAGGGACAGCGCCCACGTGTGCGGGTCCTCAGGACAGAGGGATTTGTGTGCAGTGGACAAAACCCCTTCCCTTCAGGCCATGAAAGCACTCAGGATGATAAAGAAATTCATGTTCCTTGGCTTCTTGGTTTGGGGCATGGGCTTGTGGGTTCAGGACACTAATTTGGGGGCGACACTGGGTGTCACTTTACTTTTCTGGGTCTCAGTTCCCTCAGGTGTCAAATGAGGGTTTTGACCCCATGGCTCTGAGGTCTCTGACGGCTCAGAGCCCAAGGGTCAGCTCCAGCAGGTGCGTGTGGGGGGTTGAGGGGACAGAGCAGGTCCATGCCCAAGGCCACATACACCACTGTTCTTGCCTCCTGGCTCTGACCTCTGATCCAGGAACTGTCACCACTACTCGCCTTAAGGGCACAGAGAGGGTGGCGACCTGTCCCGGGATCCTCGGTCTGGCCCTCGTTCGGTGAGCCGTGGGAGTAACAGGATGGAAGTGTGAGAGTCCCAGGGTTGGTTGGATCCCCCAGCGGTGGTTTGGGACCCTGCTGCTGGAGGGCCTTCGGCCGGGGATGCTGGCCCGTCTGCACCCCTCCCTCCACCTGGACACGGAGGTCTGGGCTCATGTGCTCCTCCAGGCCTGTCACTGGCCGCAGGTGGGTGGGGTCCCGGCACCACAGGGCCTATGTAGGCTGCAGCCAGACCCTGGGACATGGCTCGGCCTCTGGGGCCAGGTCTTGCTGCTGCTGGGCTGCCAGCTCCCAGAGCCGTGGGGCTCAGGCCGGTTCCTGCTCTGCTCTCTGGACCTGCTGCCCTCCTACCTGCGTGTTGCACGGAGTCTCCTTGGGCAGGTGTCCTGCCTTCCCCTTGGGGCTGCTAGTCCTTCCTCCAGCCCCCAGCTGGCTGTACTACCGTCTGCAGGGCACAGGCCCCAACCTGGCACTGGCAAGCAGGTCTAGAGGTGAGCACATGTTCACACTCTGGTGTTTTAATGGCATCCTAGTTTCTGCCTGGCTGGACCGGGGGTTCCTGCTGGTGTCACAGGCCGACTCTCGCCCCTTGCTCCTCTTGCCAAGTCATTGTGCAGAGGGAGGGGTCTGCCCAGCAGGGGCAGATGCCCCCAGCATGCAGAGGGGCAGCCCCGGGACTTGCCCACAGGCCTGCCTGACCCTGTGTTTCACGTGCTCTTCTGGTCCATGCCTGGCTCACGAGGTTCCCTGACCATGCTACCAATCCCATAGGGCCTCGGAGAGAAGACCAGGAGGGGTCACTCGAGCCCCTGCTGCTGGTTCCACCTCTGCCTGTGACTCAAGCTGTGTCTGGGGCTATGTCTTCTCATCTGTGTGGTGTAGGAACGGTCCAGCCTGTCCTTCCCATCTGCATAGGCAAGTTCGTGGGGTGGTGGTAGTGTGCAGCGCCCTTCTGAGACCCAGACACTCCTGGACTCCCCATCCTCTCCCCCATCCCCAGGCTGGAGCGCAGGAAGCTCCTCTGGCCCACTAACCTGCAGCTGCTGGTTTGGCCTCAGGGCCCTGTCCCTGTCCTGCCTTGGTTGTTCCTTCTTGGCTCCTGGCCAGGCTATGTCCCCTTCCTTCCTCAGCATCTCCTGCTCCATCTGCAAGAGCCCAGACAGCAGAGCTTGCGGTGGCCTCCTGGCAGGTGGGTGGGGTCAGGCCAGCCTTCACTGTGGGGAGAACATAAAGGGCTCTGGAAAGGGCTCTGTGTCCCCTGAGAGCAGGCTGGGGCAGGGGAAGGTCCTGCACCGGGGAGAGGGCTGAAGAAGGAGAACAGGGCGGCCTCCTGAGCCTGGCAAGGTGCAGGGCTCCTCCCAGCATCCCCTGCCCCACGGAGCCTCAGTCCCCTGCACTCAGGTGCCCCCAGCCAGCTCCCAGGCCCTGGACACTCACTGATCCCGTCCCAGCAAGCCTGTGTGCCCACCATCTGTCTTCCCTGGAGGTGCAGTTTGCCCACGCAGAACCCCCTCTTGGTGACCCTCCCCCCACACCAGGCCCAGGGCCCCGGGGTTAAATATCATGTGATGGAGGAGGCAGACACTTCCAATGGGAAGGCTGGTAGGGGCTCCTTTCGTCTGTTGCAGGTGATCCTCATGGAAGAAGGAACTGCCGCCCCAGGTCATGCCTTGTGGGTACCTGACATGGACGGTCTCGTCCCCAGAAGTCCCTGGGTGGGCAAAAGGCCAGTCCACAGCTGGGGTAGGATCAGAACACAGGGCCTGCTCTCTGAACCAGACCCCCTTCACTACCCTGCTATGTCCGTCCTGTGGGTCCCTGTGCCGGGTGGGGGTGGGGTGTCTCCAAGGGCCTCCAGGCTGGCCCTCCCTTCTGTGTCCTCCTGGCCCATGCCTCTGCCCTGGGGGCTGGTCCCGAAGAGCCCGGGAGACCTGGTGGCCTGGCCCACCGGGAAAGTTTGCGGTCAGTGATAGGAGGGTAGCATGACAAAAATAAGGACTCCTTTCTTCTTCAGCGGTCAGAAAAACAAAGAGTCCACTTCCACTGAAAAAGGAAGTCCTGTTTCTTTAAAAATCCAGCTACGCTCCTGGAATCGTATGTTAAAGAGAAAAGTGAAATCCAAAATAAATAAACGGCCACATCCGGGTTTCCCCTCCTGAGACACCAATAAAGGGTTTATGGGTTTGGGGGCCCCTCACAGCTGACCTCCTGGAACTCATTAGCTGTTCCTCCCCTCCCCGACCTGGGCTGCGGGGGCCCCCCAGCTGGCTCTGGTGCCCTGGGCAATACCACTGTGGCCAGGCCACTGCTCCCAGCAAAGGCCATGGAGGCTCCTTCAGCCCAGCGGCTCAGCGGCTGGCCCGCCCTCCAGGACAAGCAGGATTCCTGGGACCGCAGGGGCTGGCCAACCTTCATTCCTGGGAGGGCAGGTGGCTCTGCAGGGACAGGCTGGCCAGTGGCTTCCAGTGACTGTCCTGACCTGTAGGCCTCTGGGCCCGCATCCTGCCCCTGATCCCGTTCCCAGGGCCTCTGGCCCCACTGCCACCCCACTGAGCTGAGCACATGTCCCGCTTGTCCCCAAGTCCATGTCAGCTGGACAGCGTGTGTCCGGTGGCCAGGGCCTGCCCCAGAAGAGATGTTCGTGTGTGCCTGGGAACACACGGAGGTGCCGACACTCTCCTGGCGGTTCTGGGTCCACAGTGCCCTCGCCTGGTGGGGCGTGCTCTCCTGTGGGGCGTGTTGCTCAGTGCTTGTCAGAGAGCTGCCGGAGACCAGGGCCGGAGACTGCATTGGGCCTGGGCTGGCCTTTGAAGGCAGCTGTCATTCTCACAGGGACTTGGCTGCTCCTTATTCGAGAAGCAGCCCTGTCTCCTGACCCTGCTGTGGCTGGTGGCCTGTCTTTCACCCCTCAGTGGTGTCCACGCCTTTTGCTGTATCCTCTGTCCTCCAAAGTCTGCGAGCTTGGGACCCCCAGCACCTGTCATTCATTCCATGGGCTAGCACTCTGTGTGGTGAGGCCGCGCCATCCCCCGGCCCAGATGAGAGTGCCTCGCATAAAGCTGGTCTATGCAGGCCTTGGTGAGCAGAGGAAGCAGTGGCCAGCTCGGGGATCTCCCAGTTCCCAGGGGCCTCTGAGAGACGGTGGCCAGATGCTGCTGCCCGGAGCAGCCATGAGCGAGGAACGCCCTCCCTTCTGGGTCTGGTTCTCTCTACGCAGGTGAGCCCACATTGGCACAGCTCCCCCACACCTTTGCCGGGGCCAGCGCCACGGAACACTGCAGACACTGCCTGTGTGCAGCCGGCAGCGCCGCTCCCTGTGCCCCTCCTTTGTGCCCGCTCGTAGGGACAGGGGATGAGGGTCTCTGCCCAAATGTGGCCCAGACATGGTCCCTGAGGCCCCTCGTCATGGTCTGGGTGGTGTCCAGGGCAGCAGGACACGTGCATATCCTCATCTCAGCGAAGCCTTGGGAAGGCCACCCTATTCTGGGGACCGCGGCCGAGGCCCTCAGCCACTCCTGATGCTGGGACTACTGCTTTCCCACTTTGTGGATGGGGTCACTGAGCGCCTCAGGCCCCAGGTCGTCAGTCCAGCAAAGGCTGTGCCCAACCTCCCCTATTTCCTCCATATTCCCCACTCTAGTCCTCGTCCTGCCTGTCTCTGGAGCGGGCTTTGAGGACATCAAAATCCCAGGGCCCACAACATGGCTGGCGCCCTCCGTGGCAGGCAGCAGAGCTGGCCGATCTCACACTCACATCCCTGTTCCTGTTTCTGGGGAGCTGAGGCAGCCCTTCCAGGACAAGGGAGCTGCCCCTTGGACAACAGGAACACCATTTCCTTTCTCTCGGCACCAGGAAAGTGCTCTGACAAACTCCACCTCCAATTTCAACCCGAATGGCTTCGCTTTGGCCTGTTTCGTACATGGAGACCAGATCCAGTCACAGCTGGGGACAGTGTGGTTGTCAGAATCCCTGGCCAGTGGGCACCTGGGAAGGGCCCTGCCCCTCAGCCTCGCTGCTGTTCCCTTTCTTGCTGCAGGACTGAGGGCCTCTGGTCGCCCTGCCCTACCTTGCCCCGTGTGGAGACTGCTGGGATGGCAAGACCGACGTCCCCCCTTCACCACGGGTGCGTACCCCACTGGTTGCCCTGGTGCAGTCGGTGGGACCCTGACCGGGGGCCGTTTCCAACAGGGACAGCAGAACCCTGGGCTCCAGGGGTCGGCAGTGAGCCGGGCCACAAGGCTCCCCGCAGGGCTCTGGCTCAGATACTGGGACAAACCCGGGGCCATTTGCTATGACCTGTGGTGCCTCCCCAAGGAGAGCAGAAGTAGCCGGGGTGTCACCAACAGGGAGGGGAGTGTTGTGGGTCACCCTCCAGCGCCAAGGCGGCCCTGAGCTCGGAGAGGGGTGGCCGGGTGTAGAGCGGGCGCTTTCCTCAGCACCAGGTGCCCGTGCAGCGCCTCCCGCAGCCTGCGGCGGCCGGGACCCCCCTACCGGACGCCCCTTTCCCCGCCCCCTGGAGCCGCAGGCCCTCCCACCAGCCCCGAGCCCGCGCAGCCCCGCGAGCTCCCCCTGCAGGCGGGCCGGCTGTTGCGCGGCGTCTGCTCTCGCGGGGCGCGCCTCCCTGTGCGCTGCGCCGCGCAACCCGCTCTCTCGCCTCTGGCTGCGGCTGCTGAGAGCCTGGGCCCGGCCTCCAGGCTCCACTGATGTCTCCCCCTGAGCTGCGCGTCCACAATCATCCCTCTGTCGTAGGGGCGCTTACTGTGGGCAGGCCTCGGGCCTCTGACCCCTCCCGCCTCAGTATCCGCGTGGTCTGGAGGTTGATGGTTGTCTGGGCGACTCTGGGTGTGAACACCTGCCTCAGGCATCTCCCAGAGCCTCCCTTCAGGCCCCCAGGCGGATGATTGCCTAAAGGGAATGCCCTGCCCTCTGGGGTCACTCACCTGTGGCAAGGGCTCCCTCGTGCCCCCTGCCTCCGGGCATCTGCACTCCAGGCAGGTGACCTGCTCTTCCAGCAGCTTCCCTCTCTGGGCCAGGCCCTGGCCATGACTTTTGCTCTCATCCAGGGCCCTGTGCAGGACGTCCAGTTGCTCCTAGGGAGAGGAAGGCATAGGGTCTCCTGGAAACATGGCTCCCTGGGAAGGAGAAGCCCAGGGTGTTTGTTTGGGCCACAGGTCACTGGGAAGAAGCACGAACAGGTCAAGTACAACGTGCACCCATCAGGTAGTTTAGGACAGAACTGCGGTGGGGAGGGGGCCGGGGTGCAGGACTTGCTGCGAGGCTCCACTTTGCAGGTCCTCTGCTGCCGTCAGAGTGGCCTCAGAGGACACACCTGGCATCCCCCGCCCCCTGCTTCCAGCCCTTGGAATGAACGTGACAGTCCCCCTGAGCTCATGGAGACTGTGGTGCTCAGCCCCCCTACCCCACTTTCCCCACCTTCTGCCTCTACCAGCACCTGTTCACCTCCCCCCGCTCCAACCCTGCTCAGGAGTGCCAGCCCAGGACACCTACCCCTGCCCCACAGACACCAATAGCCAGGCCCCTGGGATGGCCACAGCTGCTTCTCCTCTATCCACAGCATTTGTCCCAAATGCTGGCATGACTGTGGCCCTGCTCCTGGAGGAGTCGGTTTCAGAGGAAGGAGGGGAGCAACCCCCTGGCGACCTCATGGGTGAGCCCCTCGGGCGACCCCATGGGCAGAGCTGGATGTACTTCCTTTGGTCTCATGCTGTAGTACTTTAGAAAATGGACAGTGGGGAGGCCAGTGCTTATGTCTAAAATGGTAGGGTTTCACCCTTCCCTGCGAGTTTGGAAACTACCATTTTCTGTCTGTGCACATTTCTAGGAGAAAAGCAGAGGTTTCCTTCAAATATGGCTTAAATATTTCATGGTATTTTAAAGAGGCCCAAACCACTTATGTGAAGCATTGTGCTCCTCTTGTAATGACTCAGCTGTTACGGAATCCAAATTAGCCATTATAATTGAACGGGGAAACCCTTCATGCACATTGTTTGCTATGCCACGAGTTCTCCTTCCTCCTGTGGCTTGGGTTCCTAGTCCTGGTGCTGCTCGATATGTGGGTTAGGCCAGTGCGCCTGCACACCCAGGTGCAGTCTGAGGGTTCAAGTAGCCACAGGAAAGCGGGAACTGCAGCCCCACACAGGTCCTGCCCTCTGGGGGCCCTCGGGCCAGTACCAGGAGAGCCCGGTACCAGGCAGCGCTCAGATGTAAGGGGGACTTGGTTCCCCAGACTCTGGGCTCCTCCCCGTCTGCCTGCTGGTTTGTCCATCTTGGTGTAAACCCCTCCTGCTTTGACCATTCCAGCCTTATCACCAGCTTTACTGTTGTTTTTCAAAATTTCCATTAAAAATATCAAATGCCTATTCTTCTCTGTACACTTTGCAATCATCGTGCCCTGTTTCCCTCCAAACATACCATTAAAAGAAAAAAAAAGACAAAACCAAACCAACAGAGCAAAGAACCAACAAACAACCTACAAATCAGGAACATACACACAGATCCAGCCAGAAGCTGATCGAAAGACCCTAACTGCCTCAGAGCCTCACACTCTCCCCAGTAAGGTCTGTGTGCAGCAGCAGGAAGAGGCACACACGTCATCATTCTTTTAAATAACCCTTGCACTAAGAAGTAAAAATGAAAACTCCTAGAAAACCGGTAAAAAGAAAAAGCATTCACGCCAGAAATCCGTGGCATGCCCACCACGCCACAGGTGGGGAAAATGGGATAACACGGAATGCTCTGCCGAGAGACAAAGCCTGCGCATAAACCCGTCACCTACTCGTTTTAAGAAAGGAGAGAGATCGCATCGCAACACTATTAATAGAAGCCACAATGAATCACTATAAGTAAAAATGAGAGGAGAGATAAAGCTGATTCTTTGAAAAGACCAATAAAACAGACAAACAGCTGGTGGGTAGAATTAAGAGAAACAAACCGGAATCTCCAACAGCATGAAACAGATGTGGCCACAGATACAAGTACAGCAGAACCTCGGGTGTCCAACAGTTCCAGCTCCAGGTAGGACTCGATATGAACAAAATGTGGAATAGACAACACACGCGGGGCCTCGGCGGTGCAGTTGAAAATAGGAGCGGGAGGCCCTCAGATTGTAAATTTCGGAGCATGCGGGGGTGGAGTGACTTCGGGCAAGGGGACGGGAGGAGGAGGCCCATCCCACGCACACTTTCAGGGAAGCTGAGTTGGGCTGGGCAGTGACATAGGTGACAGAAAAAGGTGGAAAGCCCACCAGTTCATTGTATGAAGAGAAAATCATCAGAACACCCAAACTTGGAGAAATTGGGCACCCTGCAGGGCTCAGGGCATCACCTCCAGCCAGGGGGACCCTGCCCACCTGTGTGGCCCGCCCTGCCCCATTTGCCAGCCCAGGAGCTGCTGGAACTGGACGGATGCTCGGCTGGGACCCGGGACCAGGGTTCTGGAGAAGAGGGGAGACGTGAGCAGATCACAGGGTGGCTCTGGACAGTTTCAGTGGCACTAGTGCCACGAGGACCCCGAGAGCCCCTCTCCTGGGAAACTGTGACCCGCCTCTGACGGGGGTGGGACCCCACTGGTCGCCTCTCCCACTGGCGTCCGTGTCCCCCACCACACTTGCTTGGAGGCCGCCAGCTGCCTGCAGGACCCTCGTGTGCGGGTGTGGGGCGTGTGTCCTGATGCTCTGGGCCCGGCTCTGCATGGTTGATCTGTTGAATTCCCAGGGTAGCCCTGGAAACGGGGAGGGATTTGCTCTCAAACAAGAATCTTACTGTTTGCATAGCACAGCCTACCATTTAATTAGAAAAATATGTTTTTAATTAACTTTCTCTTAACAAACATATTGGCTCATGTGAAACGGGGAGAACCCAGTCCATAAAAGTGAAAGCAGTCATGTTGGATGCAGACCTCGCTCTAGCCCACGCTGGCAGCCCGGCCACCTGAGTGGCAGAGGGTGGCGGGGGTGGGGAGTATGGCCACGGGCCGGAGCCGTTTGTCAAAAAGGCCTGGGGCCTCTGGGCCTCCAGTGGGTCTGAATTCCCCTCCCACGTGCCCACCTCAACTACCCGCAGGTTACAAAAGTTGGAAAAAGCTTCCTCAGGGTTGGAGAGCAGAGACTTTGGGGGTTCCTACGACTTGGAGGCAGATGGAATGAAGTGGCCTAAAAGTAGGAGAATTACCAGAATTCTAGGAACAACTTGACACGATGCTGGTAGATTTTAGCACCTACACGTCACTGAAAAATGGAGTAAATCCTTAAGGAGAAAAATCCACATGGATAGAGAAGATCTGAACAACATCCAAGCCATCTGCATCCATGTGAGGAAGCCTCACAGGGAAACCTGCCAGAACCCCAGGGATGCTGACACAGAGAGAGCCCGGGCTGCAGGGGAGACCTCAAGGCCTCCAGTTCCCTGGCAGGCAAGTGCCGGGGGGAGGAACCCAGGACACCCCCCAGCACAGCCAGCTGTGCCCCTGAGAACAGGGCCTTCACCTCCCAGTCCCTGGAGTGGGAAAGTTTTGTAATCTCTCTGTGCTGCCTCCTCCTCGGTCCTGCCAGCTCCCCATGGACCCCACAGCCCCCGGGGCTCCCCTTTCTGTCTTTTAGTGTCAGCCTGAAATATCTGGACAGGGACATGTGAAGTCCCGGGTGGGTCCTCCCCACTCCTGACTTGGAACAAGACCAGATCCCCTTCTTTGAAGCCACGCAGAAGAAAAACATCTCGACAGTAGCAACCAACTGTGGCTCAAGAGACAAGTCAATCTGAGGGAGCGAATCTGAGGGTCTTGAATGAAAAGAGAATGGAGTTAATGCAAGAAATGGGAACAGGTGTCTGAAGATGTGTACCGACTGCCTCAAGAAGGGGATGCCACGGGGGGAGCCGGAGTGGGAACGACCGAGATGAAAAACACAACGACCGACCCAGGGCGATGAGGACAGGGATTGGATAAGACACGGCAGTCAGATCCACTAACCTGGGTGAAGACCGTGAGTTCTCAGGGACATGGGTGGGGGGTCAGGGACAAGAAGGTGACAGCAGCAAAAGGGCAAGGCCCAGAGAGCAGGGTTGGGCTGCAGGGAATTTGGGGACAAAAGAATGGGGAGGGGGAGAAGAGATGTTTTTTAAGTGGAAATCACATGCCTCAGCTGAAGACAGATTTTGATTTTGCAGAGAGCTCCACAGGCCCAGGCTCAAACAACAGAGGGAGCAAGTCAATGTTTTGGCACATTTTTGAATTTCAGAGATAAATGGGCCTTCTGGCTCCCACTCTGGAGGGAACAGTTCAAACAGCCCCCAACACACTTACCTTCCTTGAACCCAGTGCAAACACAGGATGAAATCCAAGTAGACTCAGGCCCTCCCAGAGAGCTGGGCTTCGAGCTCACTCACCCATGTCCCCTGCACAGGCAACAAGCCCTCGGACGTGGGGCACTGACTGCCGATGCCTGGTGTCATGGGCAGAGCTCCCGCACCGCCTGGATCTGCGGCCCCCAGATCACCTGTGAGCACATTATGTCACGTCGCAGATGTAATCATCCAGGTGGGCCTGACTGACCCTAGGAGCCCCGCAGGCTGGTGGCAGGGGGCAGCAGTGGGGTTGGGGCCATTGCCGTGTTTTGAGAGCCCCTAAGAAGGCCCAGGCCCGGGGCCAGAGATGCCTCCAGAAGCCACTCTGTCCTCAGATTGGGGGAAGGCTGCCAGGAGCCTGTGGGGGCTTCTGCCAAGAGCTTCAGGTGAGGGCGCAGCCCGGCCCATCCTGGGGTATGGAGTCCTGCCGGCAGGGCCTTCTGGCCTGCAGGACTGGGAGTCATAGATGGGTGCGCCCTCCATCTGTGGTAATGGCTGTGGAGCGGGCAAAAGGCATACATGGTTGGGCTGCTGTGAGTTGAAAGACTTTGGGGTCTGTGGAGGGCAGGGGGTTCAGGTTCAGGGCAGGCCCTTCATGGACCCCCACTGGGCACCTAGAAGGAAAGTGGAGTCAGGCAGTCTGGAGCAGGACAAGGCCCCTGCAGAGAGATAGTCTCCATAATCCTCCAGGCACAGGTGCAGAAGCCTAGCAGCTGGGGGGAGGGCTGCCAGAAGGGGTCCCCCTGTCCAGCACAGGGCAGCATCTGCTGTCATGCGTACTGTTATAACACTCCCCCCACCACCACAAAAGGCCAAGGGGAGCAAATAACCCTAAGATAAAGGGATGGAATGGAAGTCATGAGGAAGCATTAAATCAGCAAGTGTTCTATCAGCAGTCAGAGAGAACCAGAGTGTGGAAATTACTGCAAAACTTGTAAGTGGGGTAAATTCCCTTGGAAAAGGCAGAGACTCCATCCAGAGGGGCTCAGAGCCAAGGCCAGGCTGAGGAAATGACTGAAAACGTACAGGGGTGGGGAGGGCAGAGCCAGGACTCAGAACAGAGCAGAGGAGCCCTGTGGGAGGAGGCGGGCGCAGTGGAACTCCAGGCAAACAGCATTTAGAGGCACTCGGTCCTCCAGGGGCTAAGTCCGAGCGGCCAAGAAACTTCAAATTCTGAAGAACATGCCATAGAAATCTATAAACCCAAGACTCTTAGAAATGAAAGATGTCCCCCCGCCCCAACTGTAGTGGCAAAATTCAACACATCACTCCTAGCTTTGATGAACTCTGGAGACGGATCTGATGTGGAGCATCATATTTAAGATGTATTTCAAAGTGTGTAACGTGCAAACAGAGAACGTTATTTTCAAGTGTGCACAGAAGACACATGTGAACGCAGCCTCAGCCCACCTGCTCCAGTTGCTCGGGCCCCGGTGTCTCTCGGGTATCTTACCAGTCTGGCCATAAGCCCAGCTAGACCCCGGGGCCTCACCACTGCCCCTCCAAGCCCTCCCCAGCAGCGGTGGCCAGAGGGCCTTTGAACCTCGGGACTCCAGGTGTCCTCACAGATTCCAGGCTGGGTCTCAGTCCCAGCCTCCCGAGCTCCCTGGTGCTTTCTCTGCAGGTCCACCTCTGTCCCCGTCCCTCGCCCCATAGGAGGCCCCTCCTCATGGGCTCTGGATCCCACAGTGGACCCAGGACTCTGAGGACCACCAGGCTCTGCACCTGCTCTCTGAGCCCTCTGAGGGGCGGGCTGCCTTCAGGGCCCCGAGGGCCTGGCCAGCCCACCAATCCCGCATACCAGCCAAGCCACCTTGCCTTCTAAGATCTGGCAGTGCCAGGTCTCTGGGTCTGTGGGGCTAAGACTGCCCGTCCTGCCCCCCAGGTCCTGTTCGGCCCCTCTCCTCTGCTGCTCCCAACAGCGTCATCTTTCCAGGGCAGGGCCAGGGACCCTGATTCCCTGAGATACCTCTGGGGAGCCTGTGTTCCCTCCCCTCATGTGCTGGTCCCTGTGCCCCTGAGGGCCTCAAAGAGCTTTCTGGAAATTGCAGGCTGGAGCTTCAATTGCCCAGAACCCCCTGCTCCCCAGCCTAGTCCCGCGGGTGGGCGGGGGTTGGGTGCTCTGGCCCACTCCCAGCATTGTTTTGACTTGTGACCTTGTGTGGGGTGCAGGGCTCCCCTGTCCAGCCAGACCTTCCCCACCTCCAGCCCAGCATCCTTCCTTGAAAGCAGGGGACCCAAGGCCACCTTCACAGCACAAAGCCTGTATGTGGGGACATTTACCCCAATTCATCTTATGTGACATCTTACATCTGAGTGACACAGTAAGCCTGTCCTTCAGTGGCATAAGTGTAACCCCACAGAAGGCTCCAAGGCTGGGCCGGTGTCACCGTAGGTCTGCTGGTGTGGCCACAGAGAGAAGGATGGGCTGGGGAAGCTGAGGGTCCGCCACGGGGGCCAAGTCTCTCCCTAACCAGGTCTACTTCCTCAGTCTGTAAAATAAGGGTAGGGACCACCTCCACAACAGCTCTACCAGGGACCCTAATGAGCTCTGCGGGGCCCCCATGTCCCTGGAGGCCACCTGCTCTGTCCCAGTTGTGCCTCTGCCCATAAGGACCCCGGTCCCCCAGAAGCCCTCCCAGTCTCCTCTCGCCCTCTGATCTCCCTGGCCAAGGGCCCCACCTGCAGCCTCCGCTTCTCCCAGCTGGCCGCCCGCACGCTCGCCAGGTGCTCCAGCTCCAGCCTTCCGAGCGCCTCCTCTCGCAGGGCCCGCGCCGCCTGCGCACTGCTCCTCTCACGGTCTGCCTGGCGCCGAGCTGTGTGGCAGAGGCTTGCCTGGCTCCCAGGCTCTGTGGGGTGGCCACATGCGGGACTGCCCCTGCCCGTTTCACAGGCCAGGAGACTGAGACTGGGTGAGTTTGAGTGTCTGGCACCTGGAAAGGGTTGCTGGAGAGGCCCCCCTCTGACGACTCCCTGCTCCTCCCATCTGAAGCTCAAGGATCCCTGGGGGCGGGTCTGGGGTCCTGGCTCCCTCTGCCTACTTCTCTTTCTCTCCCCCTTCTTTCCTTCCACAGACGTTCCTCCTTTGAGACTGTGCTAGGCCCTGGGCCCACCTTCCAGGCAGACCTGCTAATGGGGGGGGGCAGAGGACAGTAATGCAGTTGGGGTGACTAGCAGGGCAGGGCACTCTCTGAGGGGACAGGGACAGGGGTCAGAGACCTGATGCGGAGATGGGCCTCATGACGGTCAGTGAAAGAGGGTCCCTCCACAGTCTGTGCAAAGGCCCTGAGGTAGGGTCTGTAAGAGGCCAGTGTAGCAGGAGGACATAGAGGCCCCGTGGGGTCTCTGGACTTTATTCCCCTGTGATGGGGAGGCTGCTGTTGAGAAAACAGCCAGCCAGCTGGCCCGTGCCAGCCACATCCCAGGGAGGCACACAGGTCTGGTGAGGCCCCCGTGGCCCAAGCCTGAGCAGCTCCCAGGACTGCACACACCCAGCAGCAGGGGTGAGGTGCCCAGGAACCCCTGAGGTCGTGGTGGGCCCCGCACAGCGCTCCCTGAGGGCAGGTTGAGGGAAGGGAGCTCACCTCCCTCAGCCTCTGCCAGCGCCGTCTGCAGCTGCTCCACACGGCTCTGGGCTCGGGCGCTCTCGCTCTCCACCTTGCTCAGCTGGCCGCTCAGGCTTACCGCCTGGAAGTGCCAGTCATCCTAGGTGGAAGGACCCAGATCAGGGGGCGGCCTGGGAGGGAAGGGAGGGCTGAGGGGTCGGGTGGGAGGCTTGGGGGGTTCGGCGCGCTGACCTGGACCCCTGTGGGCATCAGAGTGACTCCCATTTGGAGGAAGAGGAACTGGGCCTTTTGGGGCAGTTGGTCTGTGGGACACCATGGTATTTACTGCTATTTCTCAGGCCAAAGAAAGGACAGTGTGAACACTGAGGGGCCCAGGGACCCACAAGGCTCCTCCAGGGTCTCAGCAGGCCTGGGATGGATGGACAGATGGACAGCAGAGCGATGAGCAGCTTCCTCCCATTTCAGGGGCCCCGGGGCATGTCCTCTCCACCCCCTTACTCGTTCCTTCTGGGTGTCCCGCAGCTGCTGTGCCAGGTCCCACAGGGCGTCCCGCACAGAGGCTATGTCCACCTCTGGGCTGGGGTCCCCGGGTGCAGGGGAGGACCATCGCGGTGGTGAGCGGGACCGGCCGGGGAGGCTGGCTCTCTGCTGTGCGGAGCGAGCCTGGATGTCATCTGAGCCTGCAGGACGGGGTCAGCTGAGGGGACGGGGTGGGGATGCGGTGACAGCCCCCATCCCCAGGGAGTTGGGGGGTCATGGGTGTCTAGGCCCCTCACGGTGTGGGTCGTGAGGCCTGTGGGGGGCTGTGTCCTAAGTGGGTGCAGAGCCAGGACAGGAGCCCACCCTAAGCCACCGAGGACACTGACCTTTACTGGGGGAGCCCGAGGGTCTCTGTCCCTGGAGCCCAAGGCCACGGCAAAGCGTGGACCACAGCCGGCCCAGCTGGCCCTCCGCATCCCGCCTGGCACCCTCAGCCTGAGCGAGCTCCTGCTCCAGCCTGTGAATCTGGCCGCAGGCCTCGTCCAGGCGAGCCCGCAGCCCCTCCACCGCCCCGCGGGCCTGCTGCAGCCTCCTGGTCGTGGTGCGAAGCTCGGCCCGGAGAGCGTGCTCGGCGCCCTGGCTCTGGCAGAGACGTGCCTCCAGCCGCTTCTTCTGGGCCTCCGCTCCAGCCTCTACCTCTGCCAGCCTCTGCTGCAGCCTCAGGACCTGCGGGAAGGATGTGAGGCCGTCCCAGAGTCCCCTGCCCTCAAAGCCCTGCCCCCAGGCCTCTCATCCTGACCTCTCCTGAGGGAGTCCCTCAGACCCTCCCCATCAGCATGTCACAGCGAGGGGCCCTTGGACCCACCTCCTGGTCCATGTTTGGCAGTGGGGACCCCGAGCCCAGGTGGGGAAGGACACCCATGACCATGGAGAACATCCTGGCAGAAACGGGAAAACCCCAGGCCTGCCCCAGTTCCACTTGTAGCCAGCTCCGTGCTTGTGGCCTTTGGGGGCACGGGCTGGGTCAGTGTCCTCCTGAGCCCAGGGCAGGGGAGCCTCAGAGTGCCTGACACAATAACACGGGTTTCTAAGTGCCAACACAGTGGGTCCGTCAAGGGCTTCCCAGCTGCTATAGCCTTGCCTAGCCCATGGAGCACGGGGTTCGAGAAGGGGAGGCTCTGGGCTTAGGTGGCCTGCTCCCCTGCCTCTCTTGGCCTGGGCCACTCTTCCTCCCTTCTCGATTTACTCCAGCCCCCTGGGCACGCCCTCCCCACGGGTACTCTGCTGGGCCTGCTCCCCTTTCTTCTCTGGTGGCCTGGGCTAGGCGCAGAGGGACCCTCCCTGACCCACTGCCCATCTATAGCAGCCCATCCCATCATTCCCGGTTAGACTGCCCTGTCTGCTACTGCAGACCGTGCTCACGGCCTGACCTGTGTTCCATGCCCCTGGGATGTGTACCTTCAGCCATACGACGTGCCCTGTAAACACTTTTGAGTGATGGCAGGACCGATAGCAGCACTGTCACCCCAGGGAAGTGACAGGCTTGGAGGCCACAGAGCCTGCACCAGACTGTAAGTCCTAGGGTGGAGGCCTGGGCCGGGGGCAGGGCTGGGCCTTGTCTCGCTTCCTATCTGGGTGGCCACAGTGCCAATGACTCTATTCCCAGGTGGAGGTGAGGGACTACAGGTCACACAGTGGTCACACAGTTCGTGGGAGGGGAGTCCGTGTTTTCTGGTCAATGAAGCCACTGTCTGCATGACTTTGGGTCTGAACTGGGGGATCCTGGGCAGGCCAGGCTGTGAGCAGGGGTAGGTATGAGGCCACCTGGCCACCGGCAGCACACAGAGCCAGGCCTGGACAGCGGGCCTTTCCAGCTGCTGTAGGGGCAGGAGGACACGGGCCTGCAGGGAGAGAGCTGGTGGGAGAGTGTGTGCATGTGAGCACATGGTCAGGGCCGGGGGGACACATGTGGGCAGGTGTGGGTGTGGGTGTATGCTCTGAATCCTGAGGCTCTTTAAGAAATGGGCATTTTAGGGGTCCCTGACTGTCTTCCAGCTCAGAACGCTCCTGTCACCTGGGTGAGGCTGTCCCTTTCTAAAACACAAGAACGCTAGGAGATGCAGGGGTCACCACTTCCATGGTGTTGGGTCAGTCAGAGCCCCTGTCCCTCCACCCTGGCTGCATCCAGCCTCGCTGGGAAGTGGGACAGATGAGCACGTGGACCCACGGAGTGCATGTGGGCAAGAGCCCTGGACCCCAGCCCCTCAGACAGCACTGGTACCTCCTCTGCCGGCTGCTCAGCTCTCCTACCTCCCTCCGGGCACCATCGTGGGCTGCCTCGGCCTCCGCGGCCAGCCTCTGCATCTGCAGCACCTCCTGCTGACTCTGTTGCTGCTGCTGCTGGTGGTGCTGGGTGCCCTGTGCGCCCCGGACCTGCAGCTGGATCACCTCTTGGCTCTTTCTCCGGTTCTCAGCCTCCAGCATGCTCACCTGTGAGTGAGCATGGGGTTGCCAGGGCCCTCCTGAACCCCTGCCTCTGCTCACATGTTCTGGGGCATCACCCTCCTTTGATGCAGCGCCCACACTCTAGGTGTCAGAGGTGGGGGTGCCCTCAGAGCCAGGACACCATGTGGACAGGAGTGGGCTGGGGTCAGTGTCAGGGGTGCTGCTCTGGTCTCCTCACCGGCTCTCACTCACAGAGAGCCTCGTTCCACTACCTCTCCGAGCCTCCGTGGGCTCACATGAAAAGGAAGGTACTAGAACCTTCCTTACAGGAGGACTGTGGGGGTGGAGGGAGGGAGGTGAAGGAGATGCCTGGTCTGGAGAGAGCACAGGGCATCTCATGACCCGCTCCAAGTCTGAGGAAGTCTGACAGGGCCGCAGAGGCTTGAAAAGGGTTCCGGCCTCAAGGGGCATCTTGGGCTCTTGTCTGAGCTGTTGTTGGCCACCCTCCTGCCCCGCCCCGCCGTGAACTCAGCACAAGTGGCTCTTGACTTTGGAAGCCGAGGTGGATAGATGAAACAGCACAGCTGCTTTCTGAGCCCGAGGTGGCCATGCAGGGAGGAAGCCATGAGGGAGCCTGGGGGACGCCCTAGCTGACAGCCAGCCTGGCCGTGGGGCCCATGAGCCTGTCGCAGCAGGCCGGCTGGGCCCTGCCCGCAAGGCCCCACTGTGGAGTGTTCTTGGCACGTGCCCTCTGCGCCCTGGCTGAATTCCTGATCTTCAGGGTCCATGAGTGTCCAAGTGCTTGTTCTCAGCCATTAGGTCCGTACCCCCTGGGGCACACGGAACCAGGAGCCCCATGGGTCTGGGTAGGGCCCTCTGGCAGGCAGCTTCCAGCATGGGGGCAGAATATTCCAGAGCCACAGGAAGCAAAGCCCTGTCCTGGAGCTCCTGCTCCAGCCAGTGCGTGCCCTGGGGCCTGGGGGTGGAGGTGGGGACACCTCTGTGGGCGCAGGGCTGCAGGATGGCGGCCCTCACCTGTCTGCCCAGCTCCTGGAGTTCCCGGCGTGCATCTGCCTGGGCCTGCTCCACCTCCCTCAGACTGGCCCGCAGCTCACAGGCCTCCTTCTGGGCCACGGCCCGGGCCTCCTCCAGGACCAGCACCTTCTGCTCCCCTTCCTCCTTGGACCTCTGGAAACTGAGCCATGGGTCACAGGCAGGGGCTCCCGCATCGTATCCCACACAGAGACTTCTTGCCACCCACCCCACTCCGGCCTGATGCCTCTCCTGTGGCTTGTTTCTCCAGGGTCCTAGGGCCCAGCCTCCTTGGGGCTGCCTCCCTATCACCTTTGGGGTAGATGAGGGCTGAACGCCCAACTGGCTCTGTCCCTTTCCGTGTCTCCGGATCCTCCCCCTGCCATGCTCCTCTCTCTAGCCACACTCCCAGAGACCCAATGTCCAGCAGCAGCCCCACACCTCTGCCACCCCACTGCGAGGGCTGCGGTGCCAGCCTCGCTGTCCCCAGAGCCCGGACCAGGCCCCTCAGCCTCAGTCTGCTCTCCAGCCCTTGGCCGTCTCCTGCTGGCCACGTGGGACCAGTCTGGCATCGAGGGCGGGACCGCTGTGTTGGTATCTCGGCCTTCCCCTCCCGAGGGGTCAGCCCTTCAGACAGGCAGCCAGCACCCTGTTCGGCTCAGTGAGTCCACTGCACCACCATCTGGCCCACGGGAGATCGGGAGATGGTCCCACATCCCACATCCTTTGTCCCCGGGATGAGTCTCGGGGCCGTGCAGGCACCAAGGGGAGGTACCTGGCCTTCTCCTTCTCAGCCCTGCATATGGTGGCCCGCAGCTCAGCATTGGAGCGCTGCAGCACGTCCTTCTCGCGGGCCTCATCTCCCAGGGCCCGCTGGGCCTCCAGGACCTCCCTGCGAAGTCCCTCCCGGCTCTCCTCGCTGTCCCGAAGCTCCTGGCGCAGCACAGCCAGCCCCTCCTGGGCCTCGTCCAGCTGAGCCCGCAGCCTCTCAACCTAGGGGAGGAGCACGGGCTATACGGCCTGCTGGGGGCAGGCAGCAGGGGCTAGGGGCCAGGCTCTGGCCTTGTGTTTCCAAGGGCTTAAAGGAGAAGCAGATGACCTGGATTTGCCCACCTGGGGGGTCACCTCACCTAATGCCGTGAGGCCACGGGGCGTTTCACGAGGGCTGATCCCTGAGCCCCAGGAGGTGACTCTCTGACCCTCCTGGCCTTGGTGTTGCCCCACCCCATCCTTGGGCTCCAGGGATGCTCGTCACTGGTCAGCCCACACATCCTCCCACACCCAGGTCCGGTGGCCTCTGCTTGATGGCCTGCCCCACATGCTGTCCCCTTCAGTGATGGTGTGGCATAGGGCCACTGTGCACCCCGATGTGGGCAGCAGGGCCAGGGGCCTGGGCTCCCGATCCCTGCATGGCTGTGGGCACACCCTCCTCCTCGGCCGTCATTTCCCTATCTTACGGGAGGCCAGGGGAGGCTGGGTCTCTGGGTAGTGTCCCTTAGAAGGTCCTCCGGGGCCAGGCTGTCCAACGACTTGGGCAGCAGGCACTGTCCGTTGCATGAGTGCTCTATACATAGTGCCCCACAGAAACACGGACACCCTAAATGCAAGGGGTGGGGGGCGGCAGGGCTCCAGGTGGGCGGGCTCTGGGGCCAGCAGGAGCCATGTGCCACACAGCCACCCCAGTCTCAGGGCTCAGCCGCCTAGACTCTAGCTTCTACAAGCAGACCCAAGGATTGGGAGACGCTGTGGGTGTGAGTCCTTGTCCCCTGTCCCTGTCAGACCCGTTCCAGGCCCAGAAGGGAACCCCCATCGCACTGTCCTCCCCACACCAGGACCCTCCACGCCCTCCTGGGGCTTCTAGGCAGGGCCTGGCGATTCTGGGGTTCTATGTGAGGCCAGAGCTTAGTAGGGCTGGGAGCTGCTTTCATGCTGCCCTGGGACACGGGGTGCCTCATGTCAGCACCACGCCCTCCCCCAAGCCCTGGAGGGGGCCTTGGAGGAGAGTGCAGACCCGGGGAAGGGCCAGCCCACCCTTCAGCACGTGGGCCACGGGGTCAGAGATTGCCAGGTTGGGCCAGGACCTCTTGTCTCCTGCCTCTCTGGCCTGCGCTCTGGCCCTGAGCAGGACCCTCTAGAGAGTGCTCTGTGCAGGCCGGGCTGGCCCTGAGGAGGAGGTAGACGAGGCCGGCAGCGAGCCGAGAGAAGGGAAGCCACAAGAATTCTGAGCAATGTCAAGGCGCTGGTTTGCCAAATGCAAACCCCGCTTTGCTGGCTGTTCCAGCAGGACATTGCCCAGGCCCCTGGCCAGCCTGGCTCCTGTGTCCACCCGCGGTTATTGTTGTTCTGTTTTGGGGAAGGGCCTGAGCCCCTCCTCTGCTCCCCCTCCACCCCCACATATGGGAGCCACAACCGTGTGGAGCGGTTTCCGCAGAGCTCAGCAAAAATCCACCAGGAAGGTCAAGGACCAGCGAAAGGCCCTATCCATCTTACGAGAAACTGTTTTCATTTCCCAGGGCGAGGAGATGAAAACAAGCACAACAAAGCAGGAGAAGGGCCCCTCCCCCTGTGCGCCCGCCTGCCCCCCTCATGAGAACAGCGGCCTCGGACTGGAGTTTTACAGTCAAATCACTTAATGTGATTATAATAATTATTTCTTTACTAGAAATCGTATAAACAGCGTCTTTTGAAACCTCCTGCAGGGAGGGGGCTCCAGGACTCTGCACGGCCAGAGGGAAAGCAGGGGAGGGGCTGTGACAGGGATCTGGCCTGTGTATGTGTGTGAACACACGCATGTGCGCTCTGTGCACACGCATGTATGGATGCAGCACGGGTGAGGATGAGGCCTGTGCCTCTGCACACGTGTGTGAACGTGCGTGCCCAGGTCCACGTGCGTGACGGGTGCGTGTTGCACATTTGTGTGAGGTCTGCGGTGTCCATATGTGTTTCCCTGGGAGGGTTGTGTCCGCACATGAGTGCACGTGTATATGCACGTGTGTACTGTCATGTGTGTGCCCGTGTGTGCATGGGGGTGTGCGTGAGTACGAACCATGCTGTGTATTCACGTGTGTGTGCGTGCACACGCGTGTGGTGCTCTAGGCAGGGCCGTGAGAAGCCTGGACCGTCCTTCAGTTTAAAGGCTGTGGAAACGTTATGGTTTCCATGGCAACTGGGCCAGCCTGGCGCCTGGGAGGCTCTTCGGGGCTGCTGCTCCCTGGCTTGTTGCTCCTGCCCCCTCGCCTCAGCCTCCTGCTCCTCCACTCCCTTCCAGGGGGCTCTTTTCCTTTCTGGGGGCCCCTTTCCTTTCTGGGGTCCCCTCTCATTCTGGGGTTCCCTTTCCTTTCTGGGGGCTCTTTCTCTTTCTGGGGCTTCTCTCTTTTTTCTGGGGGACCCTCCCCTTTCTGAGGTTTCCTCTCCTTTCTGGGGGCCCCCTCTCTGGGAACCCAAACTTCTCAGGAGGCCTGTGCTTTCTTTTTTCACTTCTCCAGAACAAATGTGCCCCCAGTCTCTCGGCCCCTCCCCTGAAGCCCCTAGTTTTTAAAATCTCATTTTGCTTCCCCGTGTGGTCGCTGACCGGGCCTGACTTTGAAATCTGTTGAAAGGAGACCTTTCTCTTTGGGGGCCAAAGTAAACAGCCTGTCATGTTAAATCATGCTCTCTCCCTCCCCCTCCCTCTACTGCTGGGGCCTGCCCCTGGGGGGCTGGGGGAGGGCTGAGGAGCCCCTTTCCTTTCTGCTGCTTGGTCCGAGCTTGTGCTCCCCTGAGCTCCCGGTCAGCGTGCTTGCTGCCTGCGGCCTTGGCTCCTTGCCCAGGGAGAGCACAAATCCTACCCTCCCACGGCCCCACCTGGGCTATAACTTACCCTCCCCCTGCCCAAATCCCTGTGCCCTCCTGCCCTCCCTTCTTTCAGGCTCCCCAGGTCCTGTCACAGCTCCCTCAGAAACACCTCCCCGATTTGCTTGCCTGCTGTGTTGAAGCTTGGCCTGCCTTGCCCAGGACTCTCCCCACCACGGGACACTGTCACGTGGCTCCTGGGGGCCTTGTGTTGACCTCGACTCCTTGGCCAGGTCCATGCATGGCCGCCCCTGGAAACCCCACAAAACCCCCACACTTCTGCCCCTCTACCCCAGTCACCCCCAGGCAGCATCACCCCACCTGATACCCGGTCCCCTGGGGTCTATACCCCATGCCGCCTGTAGGCGGGGCCTGGCCAGCACCACCTCACCAAGGCTCTTCCCAGGGCTGGTAGGATGGAGGGGTCTCTGGGCCGAGGGTCCAGCTTTCCCCTCCCTGCTCCCCGAGTCCCACCTGCCTGTCGGGAAGGCCTTTTCTCCCCACTCCCGGCATCCCGGCTCTCCTGGAACTGCCTCTGCCCCTCCCCCCGACACCCCCTCACTTCGCTCCTGGCGTTGCTTCGCTCTGCTGCCATCTCCCGAAGACTCTCGCCCAAATCCGTGGCCTCTCTCTGATGGGCAGAGATGGCATCCTCAAACTGGGCCTGCAGGGCCTTCAGCTCCGCTGTCGTGGCGCTGACGGTGGCCTGGAGGGAGCAGCAAGCCGGGCACGGCATCCACGGGCAGCCCGAGGCTTGGGCAGCTGGTGGTCAGCTGAAGCCCATGCAGGCAGCCAGACGCTGTCCTCACACGGGCCGTCCCAGGTGGCCAGGGACAGAGCCCGGTCTGGGACTCCAGGTCAATGTCCTCACGCCAACAGTTGCCAATGCTCCCAATGCCAGGTACCCAGGAGACAGGGTGAGGAAGCCCCAGAGGGGTCTCCCCACAGGGAGGGGCTGACCCTGCCACCCATGCCTTTCCTCTGGGGTCTCCAGCCCAAGGCCAGGGCAGGGTCGGCTGCAGTGGCCCAGTCAGGGACTCAAGCACTGACCTCTCTCATCCCTAAAATGTTGTTGTTGGGCCCACCCTGCTGAGGGGCCAAGAATAGCCATTTGGCAGCGAGAGGGCCCTGCCCTCAAATGTCACCAACTTTGGGACTCCTGGGGCTGGCAGTAGGCTCAGCGTTCATGCCCAGGAGCTCAGGACCTCCACCCTCGCTGGCTGGCTGGGCATGGGAGAAGCCCCGCCGGGTCCCACGGCCCCGTGGCTGGGGCATCCTCTGCGGTCAGTGCAGGGGGCTCACCCTTCCCAGACAAAGGGCCTCTAGTCCTACTCTGTGGGACCCTGCCCGCCAGCGTAGGGCCAGAAAGGCAGACCGCAGCTCAGAAGACATGGCAGTGGTGGGGAAGGGGGAGGCCCTGTCCCTGAGTCCGGGTGAACACAGGGGCCCTTCAGCCTTGGTTCCCTGAACTTTCATATAGGTGGGGGCCTTAGGGGACACCCATGTCACTGTCAGCCTAAACATGTAGTCACCACAGATGCATCTGGAAAGTGGCTGCTGGACCACCGCCATAGAGACCATGCAGGCCACTCAGGCAGCCCAAACATTCCTCTGGGACGTTGCTCGCCCTGAATCTGCCCTCCTGGGGCCTCAGGTCTCAGAAGGTTCCTGTCCATCGCTCACTGGTGGGCACGTGGAGGCAGTGAGGGGCCTCTGGGCCCCAGGCTTGGCAGCCGTGCTCGAAGCTTTCCTTGTCCTTGAGTAAGGACAGCACCGGCTTGCCTACTTACCATGAGGCCTACCTGCTTCCCTGCCAGGATGACTTCCTCCCTCCTGCCTGTTCCCAGGGTGGTCTGGGCCTCCAGGGTAGGGGATGGAGCTGACTTCCTGTTCCAGGAGATGCAGGTGCCCACGCTACTGGCCATATGCTGCGTCTCTAGGAGGCCTCCCCACTACCCCCGCCAGGACTTGGTGGCTGCCGCAGAGCAAGGGTGCTGGTGGTCTGGGGCTCCATCAGGCCTCACTGGGGCCTCCTCCACCCTGGGCCCCTGCTGTCTCTCCCCCGTGACAGGTATCACCTTGGGTGGCCGGGTCTGGCTGTGCCTCCAGGACAGGTCTCCCCTGGAAGCCCTGGGAGGGTTGTGAGCGACCGCATACCTCCAGCCAGCCCCTCCACCCACCAGTGGTGCTTTCTGATCCCACAGCCGGCTTCCTTTAGCTGGCATCCCTCCTCTCTCAGTCCTCAGTGGGTTTTAATTTTCCAGGCCAAGGTGCCAAAAGGACCCCTAACGAGGTCCCTGCTGGCTGGCGGGCCATCCCCAGTCCAGCCAGAGACTTGGAGCCAGCATGAGGGAATCCTCCTGAGCCAGCCCTCTCTGAGTTGGGGTGTCAGCTCCCGGGGTCTGGGGGGTGCATTCCTGGTTCCCTGACCATGGATGGGACTGGGGGCAGCTCAGTGGGGATGGGAGGAAGGAGGGCCTCCACTCCTCCCAGCTGTGCCCATGGAAGGGCCACCCAGGCTAAGGGTGGGACGGAGCATGGCAGGGGCTCCAGGGAGGGAGGCTCCTGGATGAGACTTTCCTGGGTGCCAGGAGCCCCTCCAGGCAGCTCTCCTAGTGACCGTGTCAGGCAACCATGGGATGGGGGGAGGAGAGTGAAGAGACACTCTGGCGGAGGTCCCCCCATGGCACACAGCTGTGGGTGTCCCACCCATCGGTGGAGGCACAGGGCCCCCAGGGTCATGGCCCCCATTCCAAGTCCTAGTTGCTGCTGCCTGCCCTGACCCTTGACATGGGCTCCTGGTGGAGTCCAGGGTCCCAGGTGCCCCAGTCAGTTGCCCGAGGCAGCCTCAATGCAGTGGTGGGCCAGTCCCTACAGGGTCTCTCCCACGCCTCATCCCTCAGGGATGCCTCTCTTCCGGCTCAGCTTGGGACTCTCTGTGGGCATCCTTCCCAGTGAAGGTCTGCCTTGGGCACAGTGCTGGACTTCCCAGGTTGGGTTTCTCCTTCAGAGGCATCTAACAAGCTGGCCACAGAGGCCTCACACTTGTTTACTGCAGTTCCATTCCAAGGGCAGCTCAGGTGCACAGATAGGCAGAGCTGGATGTCTGTGGGGCTGGCTGGGGCCCAGGTCTGGGTTCCGCCCTTCTCTGTTGCTGGCTTGCCTGTGGCCCCAGGCACTCCTCTCTCTGGATTTTTCCTGGCCAAGCCCGCTGCTGGGGAGCAGGGACCAATTCTCACAGCCCCCACCCACCCCCAGCTTTGGTTCTTTGGGTCTTTCCTTCCCATTAAGACAGTGTTTCCTTCCAGAAGGAGACCTGGATATTTCCCGGGGGACATTCAGGCTCAGGGGGCCAGGATGGAAGGGGCTGTGTCCCTGGGACCAGGCAGGAAGGGGGTGCATCTGGGGATCTGCCTGCGCCTGCCAGGCTGGGTGCTCAGGGTCTTGCTTGGGCCCCCAGGGCTCACCTCGGCTTGTTCATGCCGGCTCTGGGCCTCCTGCCGCACCTGCTCCAGTTCCTGCATGGACCTGAAGAGCTCTTCCCTCAGTAGCTTCCCCTCTTCTTCTTTCAGGGACAGGGCCTGGAGGGATTTGGGGGACATGGTGCTTGTGAGGCTCAGAGGCCTCTTTAAGGAGAGGCTGCAGCAGAAGAGTGGGTGGTAAAGCCTCTGCCAGGATGTGGTGTACTCCTGATTGCACACCCCTGCTTAGGGAGGAGAATCACCCCAGAGGCAGCCCTTGTCCTGAGTGGGGTCGATGGGGCCTTTTCGCTCTGTGTAACATGGCCCAACGTCTGTGCCTCTGCTCAGTCAGCTCTCCACACACTGGCTGACTGATCAGGTGGATGGATGATCAGACACAGAGATGGATGGTGGATATGGATGGACAGATGAGTATGTGGATAGAAGGAAGGATGTGATAGATAGATAGATGGTCAAGTGAGTGGTTAGATAGATGGATAGTTATATGAATGTATGGGTGGATAGTTGGGTGCATGGATAGTTGGATGGATATTTAAGCAAATTGATGCATAGATGTGTGGTTAGGTGTGTGAATGGAAAATTAGGCATGTGGATTGATGGCCATGTACATGGGACATCAGCTGGGTGTATAGATAGAAGGATGGCAAGTCAAGTGAATGGATGGATGATGGACAGATAAATGGAGGGACAGTAAAGTACATGGATGGATAGATAGGTGGATGGATTGGTAGATGGATGGGTGGATGGATGCATGGATGCATGGATTGGTGGGTGGATGGATGGAT